AGACAAATTTGTTTCCATCTGGTACTAGCTGTTGCCAGTGTTAAAGGCGTTGAGAGTGGGAGAGAGTGTGTTAACATTATATTTGCGTCATTTCTATGAATTCTCATTTCTTGTCCTGTGATAGCAGAGCCAGTTACATCAGATGTTATCAGTGCTTCGAGTTTTTAAATTAGAACTGGCTCCAATTTGGAACCAGGCTCTGTGGGCTATTGCTAATTAATATCATAGACTGCTTAAATTGTTTGTTTCTGTCACTTGTGGATCTGTGCAGCTTTGCATCGATGCAGTGCTCTGGGTGCAGTGACTGAGGCAGCAATGATGCTGCTGCTCATCATTCTCAAACTGGCTGTGACAGAAGGACCTCTTCTGCTCAGCATCATTTGCTTTTTTTTGTGTCCCCACTTTCATTAAATTACACAATTTTTCATGTGTCCTGATGTACCTCTGTCCTTCACCCTTCCCTGTTTCATCTTTTTCTTGAATTGCACTTGTAGCACATAATTCAGGACATTACCGCACTTTTGGCTGGTGAGAAACAGAACATGGGTCAAAACCTGTAAAGTTTTCATGCTGCATCAATTAGTCAGTACTGAAAGATTAATGTGGGTGCCATCCTCAAACCCTGAGTTAAATAGGGATTGCCGCTTTGCACACACAACTTCCTGCTATATTTGGAACATTCAATGCTAGGCAACCAGGTTGTAGGCAACCTTTTTTCTTTGTAACAGATGCCGAAGGTGTAGTGTAGGTGGTTGTTGTTTCCAGTTCTTATGTGTAGATTGCACTTTGCTAATATTAAGCCTCCTGGCAATACTTAAATAGAGTTGCTGACAGAGATGGCTTTGAGCTTCTCCAGTGATGATGTCAGAAGTTAAAGGTAAGCTTACTTAAATAATAGTGATTTTATTTAAATATGTTGCTGCCATAACACATTTATAAGTGTAATGCTTTGTCCTTTATATAAAGAAACTAAAGACAGTTTTATTCTGTTATTCTTGACAGTTTACACACTGCACAATGAGACTGAGATATATTTGGTCAGTGTTACCCTATCTAACCTAACAAGAAAAAACATATTTGGGGCAGTTTGACTTTGCAACAAATTAACTTTATTTGGAACAGTGTAGCACTTAACATAGCACCCCTTGTAATGGATAAAAATATATTTGAGAAAAATTGAGGTTCTTTTTTTTTTAAATTATGAGCTCTATAACATGGTTTGGTGCTAATTTGTAACTGCTCTTAAATCAGCAACAAACTGGTAATTTAACCTGAGCTCTTGTGATTTCTCTGTCTTCTTTACTTTTCTCTCCCTTGTGTCTTTCCATTTCCATTTTCTCTAGCATTCTGTTCAGTGTTCAATATATACCTGTAATCCTTTGCTCTTTTTATTACCCACAAATCTTCTCCACCTTTTTCTCTTCTCTTTTTCTTCTATCCTTCTGTGTTATTTTCTGTCTCCCATCATTCTGTCTTTCTCTCTGTCCTAGCAATCCAGTTAATTGCCTCCAAAGTTCATTCTGTCTCTGGGCTAATGCAATTTAAGTAGGGTCGGAGCCCCTTCATCAGCCCAGCACTGGCATTTCATTAAGACTCCTTGGGCGTTAGCTCGCAAGCAAGTGGAGGTTTCGCTCCATCAGCTCATCATTAGTTATTAATACACTGATAGGATTAGCTGCAGTATGAGGCTAGTGGCAAATGGAGGCCCTGGTGTTTCTGTTGGAGAGGGCATGTGAGATATGGCCTTCAGCACTGCCTGTGATCTGGGGAAATGTATTGGGGAATATCTACATGTTTCACTTGTGTATTTACGTGAACATTTGTGACCCCGGACTCCTATAACATGAGGACCATTTTAAGTCACAAATTTCAGTTTTCTAGTTCATTTCTACAAAATGACTGACCTGTTTTTTAGTTTTCTATTGAATCATCTGAATTTACTTATTAATACGTTATTTTGAAACCTACGATTTTTGCATATTTTTTGGATGTAGACTTACATATGTGTGCATGGCCACTTGCATTATCATCACTACTAGCATGTGAAGGCTTTCCCATGGATGTCGAGTTTGGGCAAGGGGTGCTCTCCACAATGTTAATTGCATCATTATGGTTGGGATGGATCTCCATCTGCTGTGCCATTACTCCTGTCCCATTCTGGGCTGACCCTCACTGTGCCTCAGAATTAGACACACACAGGCTAAATGGCCCTGCTAAATTATGACGCTATTAGATATGGGAGACTATTTTAGCACATATGTATTCATACACAGAGAGAATTGAAGAAGGGTGGGGGTGAAAGGGAACGATGAACTGAAGTAGAGCAAGAGAGGGAAAATGTGAGAAATGAGAGATGAAGTACAAAGAGATTTTGAAAAATGAGAGCCAATGAAAGCAACAGAGGGAATGTACAGATATAATGATAGAATAGGAGAAGTTAACTTTCTGTCTGGCCAGAGTTTCAGTGTGCTAGCTATTGTTAGAAGTTGATAAGATTTTTATGAAGCATGATAAGACATTGATGGATTTCACCATGGATCATGCAGACAGACCAGGGGAATGGAGGACAAGAATTTTAACCAAGTCAGTCATGTTGGTGGCCTTCCCAGAGTTTTGATTCTCCTTTGTCTTTTAGGATTGGCTTGACAATCCTGGAAACAATGAGATAATTAGCAAAATACCAAGCCACCAAATACAAAACCTAATGCTAAATACGTATGTTTCAAGATGATCTTCTAGAAATGTTGTCTCTGCTGGACAAAGCATTTTTTAAATTTCAAATTTACATTTAATGTGACATGAGAACTAAATATAATTCACCAAAATATACTTGTAAAATCTTTTTATAAGCTCTTCAGTGTCCAGTAGTGCTAGACAGTGTCAAACCAGCAAGCTCATGAGCCAAACATTCAAATCAAACACAACAATCTGACAAGTGAATAGAGCAGGCAGCCCAGTTTTACAGGATATGATTGTGAGTGGAAGCATTGAAAGCAATAAGCTTGATTGTTGCTTTGTAGTTGTTATGATCATGCATTAAAATATTACTACTGCATGTCTAAGTGAGTTTTGGTTAGTGTTTTATGGACCAGTTTGTTTTATGCTGGCAGACTCCCCAAGAAGAGTCCATTTGACAATACTGGATCAGAACAAATTTGTTGGACCAATTTCTAAGCACTATAC